AAGTATATAAAGCAGACAACTCTGTTCCTGGCTCATAACGAGTGCTCAATAAATATTAGTTCCCTCCCCCATCCCCAGTGCCCTTTGCCCTCATGATAGATTAGAATTCCACCAATCTGTTGGCTTTCTTCTAGAGTGGCCTGCCCTCAGCCCATTTTCAGGTCAGCCAATGGAGCCAGAGCTGGCTGGAACCATTTTTCATCTCATTGCCCTTATTCCAGCAGTTTCACGTGGCCTCTTGCTATAAATCAGTCCGGGAAAATAAATGTCCCCAATCCATTAGTGACTTTCCACAAGCCAATTTGAGCCACAAACTAGGCAAGGCTTGTTAATGGCCACTTAAATGGCCTGCATCCCAGCCTGGGGAGCCTCAGCCTCAAATCCTGCCAGTTCCTGTCCCAGACAAGCTCCACTGTGATAAGACTGCTGGTGGCAAAGGCCGAAGACTGACCCTTAAGGTTAGGGGAACCACGTACCCTGGTTTGCCTAGAACAGTCCCCTTTCCTGCTGCTGTCCTGGGGGAATTATTAGCAGTGCCCCTGTACTGTCAAAAGAGTTCCAGTTTGAAGGGGAACCTACAGAGAGCCTATAGAAACCAAGAGTAATAGTTGAAATAGCAATAGCTATTATTTTGACTAGGAGCCAGGCATCACCGAAAAGATCTTTATGTCTGTATCTCATTTAAACTCCATTACCACACTCTGAAGGGAGGTGCTATTATTATCACCATTTTATAGACCAGGAAACTGAGGTTTAGAGGAGTAACTGGCACGTTCAAGGTCACAGGGGTGCTAACTGTGCCTCACTCAGATCCCTTTCCCTGGGCAGTGCACCCATCTTCCAGCCGCTCGTAGTGCTGGCCACTCGATGCTCAGAGTGGTCCCCTCGCCTCCCCACTGGCCTCCTTCCAAGGGGAACTGCCGTCTGTCAAACAGAAGCCATCTCCACTTGAGAGGCTCCAGGCCCCCACTCAGGAGGCAGCCCACAGCCCATAACTGGGAGGGGGGACAGGGGCACAAAAGGCTCCCCGCATTGCTTGGAGGTCAGATCGACTCTGTGGTACAATTCAAGCTCCAAGACTCCTGGTGGGACCCAGGTGAGACCACATCCTTGGCGAGCTCCTTTCCTACCCTGTCCTGCTTCCCGTGCCCCCATTCTTCTAAAAGCACCCCCCTAAAAAAGCATTNGAATGGTTGGTGAAATGGCTGTGATGGTTCCCCCATCAAAGATGATGCTCTTGAAACAATTTAGACAGAAGACTCTGCTATCCCCCACACCCCACATGCTTCACAGTGGTCCGTCTTGAACTGCATGTCTCCACGTTTGGGGGAAAGTCATATTACTTAGGGAATAGCCAGGGAATGTTTCCCTAAGTCAGCACAAAAAGATCAAAGGAGCCGTATTCATTGAAGAAAGGAAGGCAAGCAGGTTTACATGCCACAGGTCCAGAGGGGTAAATCACATTCTTATGGCTTTTCCATGGAGGAAAATAAAATGGAATAAAAGGAAAAAACTGCAGAGCTTTAAGGGAAGACAGAACAGGACTCAAATCTGAACTCTACTATCTGTGTGATGTTTTTGGGAAATTAGTCAGCATCTCCAAGCCTCAATTTGCTATGCCATAACACTTACCTCATTGGGCCATAAATGAAAGGGGGCAAATGAGGTAAAATATGTATTTCTCCCCACCTCTTCCATTTCTACAAAGTTTATAGAGTAACCATGTTGAACCCTCATTCCAGGTCTGAATGATACTAGTTCACTTGGACTCTGCTTTATTCCCAAGCAAAACATATTCTATTTGATGATAAAAGGTTTCCATTAAAAAAGAGAGAGCAGATAAAAGGGAGACCTTTATCCAGGAGGCTATCAGCTGATGCATAAAAATATGGAATGAGTCATGCTGGCTCCCAAGGCTACACTGACACTCAATGGGCATCTCTGGCCAGCCAGTCTCAGCCCAGTGGAGGAGGAAGGGCCCAGCGGGCAATCTTCACAAACCTATTCCAACCTCTTCTTGCAAAACCAATTAAGTCTGCTTCCAGGTTGGAGAAATGAAAATCAGTCTGAGCCCTTTGCAATACCATATTCCAAATGCTTTCTTTCCCATGCCTGCTTTGATTTCTGAACAACCAGGGTGGAGTATCTGCAGTGATTCCATTGGGTGTGTGCGTGTATGTGTGTACAGCTCCTATGAAGGCTTAAGTGTCTGGCTTTGAAAATCAATCTCCTGGCCTTCCTCTTGACATTTATTACTTCAAAATGCTTCAGTTCCTATCGGTATTTATGCAGTTAACATAAGGCTGGAGAACCCAGACCTATCCACAATACAAATGACACTCTTTTCTTTAAAAAGTAGCGTCAACACTTTTATTCTCTGAATATATACTCTGATGGAGCCCCAGAATCCAATCCTCAATTTGAATGGAGGGCTTTATATATCGCTATATAAGGATATGTCAAACTATATATATTTTATATATAAGGAGAATTATCAATACATGGTTTAATTTACCTAAGCAAACATTCTTCCACCAGTGAGTGAAGAAAAATAATGACTCTACAATCCCCTCCCAAGCATCTTCCCTCAGTCCATTCATTCAGCAATCACTTGTTTAGGACATTTCATGTGCCAAGCACTGTGCTGGGCATTGGGGGTTTATTGGTGAAAAGGGCAGGTGTGAGCTCTGCCTTCTGGGGTCAGTTTGGTTCCACAAGTTTGTTTCTATTAAAACAACAGAACCATATAGGATCCCCTAGTTTGCAAAAGCCTCTTCCCTTAACCTGAATTCCCCAGGGAGAGGCTCAAGGGTCTGTTTCGAGTCCAACCTGACCAGCCATGTACATGAGGAGCCGGCCAGAGATCAGCGCCTGCCTCTCTCGCCAGCTGCCTTGCAGTCTGGCAAATCAAACGTGTACCTGCTCTTGCCGGAAAGAGGAGGGGATCTCCTGGCATTTCTTCTTGCCTCTAGATACATTCCCAGATTCCAGGTTTGGGGGGTGGAAGTCTAACCTGGGAACTGGTGATCTGGCTGCTGCTTTAGGGGGCAGAGTCGGTTGGGGGCTTTAAAACACGGAGATAAGGATAGGCCCGTCTCACTGTGCTGACAGCAAGTCCCCCATAGGGGCTCCCTGTGCTGCCGGATGCAGAACTCAGTTCGGGGTCCAGTGAACCCCGGGGGTGAGCCCTCCCTCCCCAGAACTTCAGGGAAATGACCATATAGTGACAGCACACACACAGAGGCTTAAACACTCCAGAGGAATCCCAGCGGGGCAGGGAGGGGTGGGGAGTGAGCTCCTTCTGAGACGGGAGCAGGAGTTCTGAGAAGATGATCCTTGTTTTGTTTGTTTTTGTTTGTCCTCTTGGGAGAAACCCAGAAGATGCTAGTGGGGAAGAGGGAGCCTTGGCCTCACCCCTCCCCAGGCTCAGATGCTTGGTACCGCCACTCTGTCCCCACACAGGGCCACCTGGAGGAAAGTGTGCAGGAGCAGGGAGGAGGCACAGTCTCCCCAGCCCTGCACTCCGGCCCTGGCCTTACAAAGATCCAGGACCAAATCCTGGCCATGCCACTTAGTGGCGGCCGAGGGATCGTGGGCAGAGGACTCCCTCTCGGCCCTGCTTCCATCGCCTGTAACAGGGATAACGGTGGTACCTAAGTCACTGGGTCCCAGGAAGTATTAAATAAGATCACACACAGAAAACTCTAAAAACGGCGTCCGTATGCAGGAAGCCGACAGTTAGGATTTTTTAACCATGTTATGGTCAGACCCCCTCTCCTGGCAGCTGAGCTGTCCTACCCCACCGAGCGCTCCGTCGGCGCAACCTTCCAGACCTGGAGCACCGGGTGCCACCGCCCACCGCTCTCCTCCGCGCGCAAAAGCTCGGTCCCCACCTCCCCCATGCCCCCCATATCCGGCTTGGGGAGGCGACTGCCTGCTCTCAGCATCCTCCGCGCAGCACGGGCCGCGCGGAGACTGAGACGCCCGGGGCGCGCGGAGGAGGGGAGCGCCCCCAGGCCCCTCCAGGGGCAGCGTGCCCTCCGCGGCGCTGCCAACTCCCCACCCCCACCCCCACCCCCACCCCGGGCGCCGAATGCGCGGAAAATCGAGCAAGCGAGTAAGGCGCGGATATTGGACCGGGCTTTGACGCGGATCTTGAGAGGTGGGGAGTGAGCTCCTTCTGAGACGGGAGCAGGAGTTCTGAGAAGATGATCCTTGTTTGTTTGTTTTTGTTTGTCCTCTTGGGAGAAACACAGAAGATGCCAGTGGGGAAGAGGGAGCCTTGGCCTCACCCCTCCCCAGGCTCAGATGCTTGGTACGGCCACCCTGTCCCCACACAGGGCCACCAGGATTAAAGTGTGCCGGAGCGGGGAGGAGGCAGTCTCCCCAGCCCTGCACTCCGGCCCCGGCCTTACAAAGATCCAGGACCAAATCCTGGCCATGCCACTTAGTGGCGGCCGAGGGATCGTGGGCAGAGGACTCTCTCTCGGCCCTGCTTCCTTCGCCTGTAACAGGGATAACGGTGGAACCTAACTCACTGGGTCCCAGGAAGTATTAAAAAAGATCACACACAGAAAACTCTAAAAACGACGTCCGTACGCAGGAAGCCGACAGTTAGGATTTTTTAACCATGTTATGGTCAGACCCCCTCTCCTGGCAGCTGAGCTGTCCTACCCCACCGAGCGCTCCGTCGGCGCAACCTTCCAGACCTGGAGCACCGGGTGCCACCGCCCACCGCTCTCCTCCGCGCGCAAAAGCTCGGTCCCCACCTCCCCCATGCCCCCCATATCCGGCTTGGGGAGGCGACTGCCTGCTCTCAGCATCCTCCGCGCAGCACGGGCCGCGGGGAGACTGAGACGCCCGGAGGGCGCGGAAGTGGGCGCGCCCCCAGGCCCCTCCAGGGGCAGCGTGCCCTCCGCGGCGCTGCCAACCCCCCACCCCCACCCCGGGCACCGAACGCGCGGAAAACCGAGCAAGCGAGTAAGGCGCGGATACTGGACCAGGCTTTGACGCGGATCTTGAGCTCGCCGTCCTGCGGCTCGGGCATGGCCTTCCTGGTGACCCGCAGCTTGTTGAGCCCCCCGAAGCCGGCCAGCACCACAGCGCGCATCTCCTGGGCGTCCCCGAGGCGGTGAGAGCCGCCGCCGCCGCCCTCCGCCGGCTCCTTGCCTGCCTCCTTCTCGATCATTTGCTCCGTCCCCTTCGCCTTCTCCACGCCTTCCTTGGCCATGGTGCGCGGGGTCGCGGGGCGCACGGGCTGCGGCGGCTGCGGCGCGGGGCTCCGGGCTCGCCTCCCGCGGGGTCCTCCTGTTGAATGTGTGATGCTCGGCGGTGCAATGGCTGCAACCTCCGCGAGTCGCGCGAGGGCCACAGCCTCCGCCGTAAACCTGGTAAGAGCCGCACCCTGCCTGCCCCACCCCCGCACCCCACCTCTCTACCCTGCCCGCGGGAAGCCGCAACTCCAGCTCAAGAACCAGTCTCAGGTCGGGCTTTGGATCGCAGTCCCAGAGCCCATAGGTGGCCCGAGACTCGTGACTAAAACGCGCAGGGAGGACGCCGTCTTCTCCGCGGTGGGCGCACTACTCGGTTATATACGGCGCGGGCTGGGCGCCTTGAAATGGACAGAGATGAATGCCTGGGCCTGGAGGACGCCTCCCGCGACCAGGCTGCCTCCTCTCCCCACCACATCTGCGGGGCGGGAGGGATGGACGGGAAATGCGGCCGGTCCCGCTGGAGAGCGGAGAGGTTGGGGAAGCGGGAAACTAGAAATCCCACTCACCACCCTGAAGAGCCCAAGCCCAGGGTCTCGGCCTCGGGACCTCAGGGTCAGCGGGGATGCTCGTCACCCGGCGTCACCAGCAGAGTCTGCCGTGGCTCATTCTCCCCACCCGCACCATCTAGGGCCACGGGAAAGAATCCCGTGCCAGAAGCTGGTCCTGTTCTTGTTTTGACCCCCAGAAGATCAGTATGCACTCCCTCCCCGACACACACACACACACACACACACACACACACACGCACACACACACAGGGCAGTAACTGGCTTTTCGGGATTTTTTTGGTTTTTGTTAATGGATCCCTCTGAAAAGAGCTCGTAGGAAAACTTGGATTTTTTAAGGAAAAACGATGTGGGGAGTGATGGTTTGCCTTGCTCAAGAAAGATATAGTTGAGGAGTGGTAGATATATATTCTAGTTCCATGCGTGGCCAAACTGCCAACCGTGGGGACTTGGGCAATGCATTCAACCTTTCTGAGCCTCAACTCTCTCATCCATTAAGTGGGTACATTCTGTTTGTTTACTCACATTGTGCTGAGTGCTGGGTGAATAGAGCTTTCAGCACACATGGTCCTTACCTTTAAGGAGCTCATCCCCAGAGCATGAGGCAGGAAGGCAGGACACAGCCAACAAGCAGAGGGGACTCAATGGATGGTTTAAGTGCCTCTTCTACCTCCATTCTCCCTGCTCCTCTCTGCTTTAAATGTCCTGGTCTTCTATTCCTCAAAAGGAGAATTGTGTTCCCTCCTACCACCTGTTGTCCCGAGGCCTGGGATATGTTCCACCTCCTTCATATGGTGTCATCTCCTACCCACTTTGAACTCAAGCACCCATTCCTCCTTGAAAGCTCTCCAACCCCCAGGCTGGGTCAGCATCCTTTATGGTTACTCTCAAGGCAGTTTGTAACAAGCTTTTGTATGATTATCTACTGCTCTGTCTCATTTTCCCAGCTGTGCATTATCTGTTTTTATCCAGCATTGTTTCCCCCCAGGGATTAGCTCATGATTGGTATCTAGCAGAATATGCTCAGAAAAAGGCTTGTTGAATCACTGACTGAGTTCCGTGCCTGCAGATGCTGCTATGGACACCCAGAGGAGGGAACTGTTAACTTGCCTGGGGAGTGGGGAAGTCCTCGGAGAGGGGGGACATATGAGCCAGACCTTGATTGATGAGCCAGGTTCTTCACATGGGAAAGATCAAGCACATTCAGACACATCCAAAGGTAGTGGGTGAAAGGCCTTTTGAGAACACCCTGGCTTGTTCTGTGTGGGCAGAGCATCAGCTCACTGGAGATAAGGCTGGAAGACTGGTTGGAACCAGCTTTTGAAGGGTTTTACATACTGTGTTATAAAACTTAACACATAATCCTGGAGGCAGCCAGTGCCACTGAAGACTTAAGAAACAAAGACAAGGGACTGGCATTACCCGAAGTGCATTTCAAGGTAATAGCTTTGGCAGTAAGTGCTGATGAATTAGACGATACAGTTACTGGAAGCATGGAGAGCAGACATAAATAAATTAAAAAAATAAATAGGAAGAGCCTTAACTGAGGCAATGGCTGGGGGGTGGAAGAGAGGGGTTTGGAAGAAGCTGAATAGACAAGTCTTGGTTAATGAATTGAATATTTTATTTTAAACCCAATTGTCCAAAATATTAAGCCTGTTTACATTGTGAGATACAGTGTTGAGGCTGGTTTCCATCCTGAAAAAAGAATCTGAGTGCGAGTGGTTTATTCTGGAGGCAATCCCAGGAAGCTCCTGCCAAGAGGGAGGAAAGTGAGATAGGAAAGCGGCAGAAACCAACACAGGGTGTGTGAATGAGCAGGTTACCACATGGACAAACGGAATCCAAGTGCACAGGAGTTCCTAGGAAGTATGGAACAAATCTCAGAGTTGTCCCACCCAAGGAGTGAAGAAATGGGTATGTATCACTAAATTTTCTGCATGATTGGCTAGGGGCTGTCCCTGGAAGTGTTAACTTCCTAACCCTTCCAGTCTGCCCAGAGTACCTGGGCAGACAGAACCCCCAGGCTGAGAACTTTGGGTGCTCTCAGTAGGAAGCCATCCTCTGGTACAGGAGATGGTGAGCTCAGAGGGGATATGAGTTTGGAGCTGATAATATCTGCAATATATGGTATTGTTTTGGGGTGTTTCTACTGTTGGAGATACTTTAGGTATGTTCTGTAATTTGAGTCTCAGAATAACTTTACTAGGGAAGCATTATTATTCCCATTTCACAAAAGAGGAAACTGAGTTTTAACATGGTAAATTATCATGCTCAGAGGGACAGAGTGAATGTGGTGAGACCCAAAACCAACTCCAAATAGACGCTCCTACCATCTCACCATGCATCTTTATTTGGATAAGCCAAACCACTTCTTCCCCTGGTTGATAATACTCTGTGGCATTTTTTATATTGTCTGCCCCACCTTTGTCTGGATTCTGAGGGTTTCCCTTTAGCATCAGAAAAGTAAATCCACATTGCAGTCAGCACACAACATGTTTTAATAAAAAGTGTTTACCTTATAGTATGTTAAAGGCAATCTAATTACTCCTCCAAGGGAATCTTTTGGCTGCTGACAACCCCCAGAGTGTAATTGGTATGCAGCTGATTGTCACAACAACTGAGAAAAACCACACCACAGTCTGTGCTGCCTGGGAAGGAACACCTTCCTGGGAGTCCCAGACACCACCATTTGGGTTGTTAAGTGTTCCCAAATCTGCTCCTCTGTGGTGCAGTGTGGGGCAGGAGCCGTGCTGGAAGGCATATCCACAAATAAAGGCATATCCACAAATAAACACAATCAATCTATTTTCAGTTTATAAAATTGATTGCTGGGACATGCATTCACTCAGCCTCCGTTTGAAACAGCTGACACTGAAGGGCAGCGTGAAACAGTGGCCCCTGCTGGTGAAACCTAGCATTCCAGCTTAGCTCTATTAACTTGTACATAGCCTGGGAGCAGGTTCGCGTGCCCTTGGGAAGAGTGTAGAAGGTCAAATTCAGGAACCCCTCAAGGTACTGGCCATCTGAGGGGAGTGTCACACAGCAGAGGTGAAGTCTTTAAATAAGAATATGTGGGAAACAATGTTAGTATGATTTTTTTGTGTGGTTTTCTAAATAACTTGGAATGGTTCAGTAGCTTTCCAGAGAAATGTTACCTTTGGACAAGTGGTTTATGTCTTCAACCATATCCTTTAATATTTCTTCTATTGCATTTTCCTTAATACAATTAGAGCCATTTATTATACATGTATTATAGTATTTAATCTACAAAATAATCCTGTGCCATAAGTACTATTATCCCTATTTTATGCAGGAGGAAATTTAATAGAAACTGAGTAACTTTCTTAAGGTCACCATCTGAATCTCTGACAGAGCTGGGGTTTGAAGTGGGAGCCGTTTTGACTCTAAAATGTGGATTCTTAACCACTATTCTATAATGTCTATGGTTTGATATGCTGTTATGTGTTTTAAAAATTTAAGAAAGAATAGGTCAAGAGGAAGGAAGCAAATTTAGAGGGTCAGTAATGAAGAAAGGTAGTAGATTCTGGCCATTGAAAGAACTTAGTAAAACCCAGGGGATCATGTTAAGGATGTGTGCCTTAACTTCTTATAGCTTGGACTGATGTAATTTCAAGGATAATGGAGCATGATTGCCATGAGCAGAGCATTATCTTCAGAGAAGTCCTGGATAGTCATGTGTGGCCCATCTTGTAAGTAGTAGAATGTAGTTCCTATTTATATCTTGTAGGACCAGTCATAGGCAGTTAACTCTAGATGTGTCAGAGGGAAAAAAAGCGAACTGACATTTATTCATCACCTCATGAGTGCTGACCTTGTGCTATTGCTAAGTAGTGGAGATAGAATGGTGAATAAGACAAACCTATTCCCAGTCCTAAAGAAGGTAGCATTCTAACCAAGGAGACATATAAGAGGTTAGCTTGGGTTCCCTAGAAGCAAACCCTTCTTAATTCAAATATTTAAGAGCAAATGGCTTATTTGAGTGGTGAATCCAGCAAGTAGGGGCCTGTGGGGGAAATGAGACAGCTAAGGAAAGCAGTCCCTACAAGGTGTAGTGTCTAGCAGGTCATCGTTCCCACTAACTCAGTTTATATCCTGCTTAAGAGCTCTAGATGACAGTGTAGAACATCCCTCAAAGGCATCCTATTCAAGAGGCAATGTAGTGTCCACCAACTCTTGTCCGTCATTGGTCCAGGGCTGTTTCTGGGGGTCTACTAACCATCTACCCTTTCTGTTCTGCCCTGTACGTGGGCTGATTGAGGATAAGCAGCTAGACCAAGCTCTCCCCAAAGAGGTGCAGGTGTTTCCGTTTAAAGCCACTGGACCCTTGCTCACAGCAATGGTGAGTTCCAAGAGTGTGTGGGTGGGGCATCGGCAGCATCCACTACAGATATTAAACCAAAAACAGAAAACAAAACAAAAATCACATAAGTAACTAATCATTTACCAATATGATAAGCTCCGTCAGGATGAAATATAAAGTGCTATCTAGAAGGTCAGAGAAGACTTCGGTATGCAAGTGAGAGTAAAGTATTAGATTGAGCTATGAAA